GATAGAGTATGGCGTAAGCTGGGACACCTCGTTAAAAAAAAAAAAAAATCAAAAAATTTGGTGCACCGAAGTTGGTGGGGGTGACCCATTAAAAATAAATAATTATTATTTCTGACCATGAAACTTAAGTATTGCAGTCATCATGAGTCAAAAGCTTTTAATGCAAAGAATTTGGAAGCCTTTGAGATTATTGGTGTCAAATTCTTGAGTTTTATCGCTTTACATTCAATAACTATTTTACTTTTCTGATTCCTAACTTTCTTGGAGTACTTTTAAGTTGTAATAATTAATCAAAAGAAAATGGCTTTACAATTAATGCTTATTAACTTGCTGCATGCAAAAGTGCGAGAAAAAAAATAAGGATAATGCTGATGTACATACAACTTTACATCCCCCTCACATAAAGAGGGCCCACAAATATTATATTACGTGTGACGTGGGCTCCCGTCCATGTGAGGGAGTGCAAACATATGTATACACCATTGTGTACAAAAAATAATATTAGCCTGACAAAATCTTCAAAATTTTGTTGGGTTGATAGTTGAAGAATTTGCTTCAAAGCTACTACATTTCCGAACGTATTTTACTGACCGTATTATAATGAAATTTGCTACTTCTTTCGATCAACTGCAATTCCCTACAAATTGTGCATGCTCCCTATATATTATTAGATATATCGAGCTAATATAATAATAAAATTTTTCATTTTTTCTCTTTCATATTGTTCAATCTAAATTTGTCCGCTTTGCCAATACATATAAAACCTTCCATTTAATTTATACCTTCTATTTAAATTTTTTCCTCTTCGAGTCCTTTTTTTAAGATAAATTTTGTAAAATAAATTTTTTTGGAGAATGTGTAGTTACAAAATAGAAAAATTTTGAATTTATGTGCAAAATTATTTTAGTTGAGAGATTTATAATTAAAAATGAATTTTAAAAAAATAAGGCCCCGTTTGGTAGGGATTTTTTGTCCCAAAAAATTGATTTTTTGACCGTTATTTTACTATTTAAGCCGTAATTTTTTACTTCTTCTTTCACATGTGGACCCCACTTTTCTTCTAACGGTGAAAAAATCAATTCTCAAAATTCCTACCAAACGGGCCCTAAATCTTAAAGATGGAAGCTAAGCAACAAACAAACAATTAAAATGAAAATTTGATATTTATTTTGTTTTAAAGGGAAAATAATGAGACTTCTGAACCCACGTGATAGAAGTGGGGACAATAAGGTCCTCTCCTTTTCAGAGAAGACTGTTCCCACATTTCATTTTCCGAAATGCCCAATTCCCTCTTAACTTTGATTTGACACCTTTTTATTTGCTTTCTTTTTGTCCCAAAAGTATCCAAACCCGTCAACCCGAATCACTACCACCTCGGCACCTGTGTATGTGCAATCTCCATCAACGGGTCAATTCGGGTTCAGCCCGTCTATTCAACTGTAAAAATCAAGCATCGATTCAAAAATGTAAATCATTCAATTGGGCCGGTTCAACCTCAACACGCGTGAACTAGTCACAATTTTTTATGAATTTTTTAAAATATATAAAAATACGAAAAGATCCAACCAAATATTTCAAGCAAAATCAATAGAATCCGAATACTATTCCCTTGTTTGTTAAGAACTATTTTTTTAGTTTTGATCGTGAAATCGATTCTTCCACTTATTGCATATAGTCCATGCCTAGTGTTTTTCTATCTAAGAATAAAAAAGGACAATGTTACACATATCGAATTTTTACCTATTACTGGCAACAAGGATGGGGATCATAATATTGACATTTATAAATTCACGCAAGACCCGCATACATTGTGAGAAGAGGGACACCATTCGATACATGTGAAATAATCTAACAAAAAATGATAATATTATATGTATCGAATCTTTTATCTACTATTCACAACAAGGGTGAAGAGGCCACAATGTTGACATTTTTAAATTTATGCGGAATCCGCATGCATTGTGAGAGGGGGGACGCCATGTATAAATTTGTATTTTTGAAATATAACCTTATATTTAATCGGGTTGGGGCTTGTTAGAATTTAGACCGATTTGTTTCCGGACTTCAGTCAAATTACGGGTTTGGATCCAAGTATTTGAGACAGGTCACATTCACCCAGGCCTTTAACTTGGCGGGGCCGGCCCGCATAATCTGGGTTGTCTCTGGCGACTCACACGCGTGGCACGTGTACCTACTTGTGAACTAACAGACCAAACCAGCAAATCTTCAAAGAAAAAATAAATAAAAATTTTAGATTGGTAAAAAATGGAAAATTCAGCGACGGGAAGAAGAAACGTTTAAGACTTTCTAAATACAGAGCAAAAGGGTCACCGGTAAAGCGAGAAAGAGAGAAAAATCTTATTTTTTTTCCCTCAATTTTTGTAAATTTTTCAGCTGCAAAGGGTTTGTGAGATGGGAAATTTTGGAGCTTTTTGCTGGGTTTAAAATAAGAACTGGAGCTTGGATTAGAAAGAGGTAAAAATCCTTTTAATTTTCTGTAATTTTTTTTTTTTGGACGTTTTGAATAATTCCTGGCTGTGTTATGATTGGAATTCTTTTTTTTCCTACTTGCTGCACTAATTACCATAATCGGTATACATCTTCTGATGCATATATGCACACGTTACACGTGCTAACACTAATGTTGAGGGAGAAAATTATCTAGGGTTTCGGTTTAATATTTGTCCTCTTCGTGTGCTTTCAAAGTTCAGATTTCAAGCATTTTGACTGTTGTGTCAGGTAAAAATATTGAGTTTTTTTATTTTCTGGTTATGGAAAACCCTAGATTTGCTTTTTTTCTTTGGTTGGGCCAAGTGTAATTCAATCTGGCGGCAATTTTTTTTACTGTTTTATTATGTGAATCAGGTAATTATTTACATTTTCGTCTGAATTTCCTTTCGGTTTCAGAGTTCACATTGAATCTCATTTCGTTATTTTTCTGGGAACAGACAGTTTGGTATCTTTTGCTTGGACGTTGATCAATCAGGCAAATCAATGCTTGCGAACTTTAATACTGCTGAATAATTCTGGCTTTATGTATTTATGCAGATCATTATACAGTCTTAAACCGTTAAATTTTAATCATAATTGCTAATTGGATTGAAAGGCTGTGGCTTAATTTAATCACTTGCGTAACTTCTTTTTCTTACTGAATAAAACATGCTATTTTGTTTTGATCACAGAATTTTGAGGTAATAGAGCATGAGGCTGAAATATAAGATGCATTTAAAATTAAAGTTGGATGAATGGATGTAGACTTTGAACCATAGGGAACTTTCACTTCGGTGAGATATTAATTTGCTTTAATCCTTGGTTGAAGTGCATTCTTTACACTTTTGGGCATAAGATCTGATTGTTTGTATCTCCTAACATGAATTGGTTCTCATGGTTGTAGTAATCAACAATTCATACTTTGTGCAATTATTTCACGCATCACTTCTTGTGTTACACTGTTTCTAAGTGAAATACACTTGTCTTAATCACATCTTCATCTTTATTGTATTGCGCTTTTCTTTTTTACCAGGGATGTCAATTTTCACCTAAGCATGTATTGGATTTTTGTAGACTAATTGAACTTAAAATACAATATTACTGAAATTTTCTCTTCCAGTTCTTCTTTCTTCTTCCCCCTGGCCTCTCGTCTGTTGCTTGTACCCATTAGATTAGTAACCTCATCCTTTAATTAATAAAACTCTTCTTTGAAGGAATTTCTCATGGCTATTTTAACCAATCATTTTCCATTATGAAAAAGAATTAGACACTCAGTTCATGCATCAGGACAAGAATTCTCTCTCTAAATAAAATAGGTGTGTAGGACAGAAAGAATAAAGATATGTTTTTATCTCAATTATATAGTTTTGCGTTTTTTTCGTTCCTACTCTCCTTTTTGAGAAAAGGGGTCATTGCCAAAGTAAAAGATTCCCCTTCCCTAACTTCTGTATTCTTGTGTTCTATATACATTGCTACATCAGTATGCCTGTTGTATTGGGTGATTCAAACACTTACAAATTGCAACAGTTTAGTTATGCCTCCTTACTGGTATGTTTGATGTTAAATTTTTGCTATGTAGTTATAATCTTTTTTCCGCAATCTTGAATTTGGATATTTTGGGGTTAGAAGATTAATTATGTGAGATGATTGCATTGTGGTTTCAGAATTGAGTAGGTAATGGATATTTGAAGTTTTTGGGGTGTGGAAAGAAGTAATTGATAATATTACCTCGTTAAGTTGGTTATACCTTAAGCAAATGTAAATTTTAAATCATATATTTTATCCCTGGTTTCAAAAGATTCCCTATCCGCCTGTGGTGCAAAATCATAATCTTGTTTTTGTATCTTCTTAAGCACCCTTCGTTCTAAAAGTCTTATTCCTACACATGTACAGTTAACCTTTGGAATTCTTATTATCATTTATGTGGTTTTTGGCATGTCTTTCCGAGAAAACTTGGACGGAAATAATTCTGAGGGTTTATTCCCGCGTGAATGCAATCAAAACATTGAGATTGAGCACGATCTCAGTGCTTCTCAATGTGGATTTGTTAGCACCGTTTGTTCAGATTATCTAAATTTACTTCAAATATGGATAATATTGAGAAAGTTCAAGATAAAACACCTTAAAATGCTTGATATCAATGACATCCTTACCATGTTACCATGTATTTCGAAAATTATCTAATGGTTCCACTCCGTTAACATCCAAAAATGAACATGGGAAATTTACGAGTAAATGTTTCTAGTCTTGCTGTGTGAACTCTATGTTTCCTTCATTCAATCACATTGTTAGCCGTGTAGTTCCAAAAAGGTTTCACTATATTGCTTGAATTTCAACGTCTTTTCCCGTCAATTGGTTCTTAAGATTTTGGAATATTTATGTTTGTAATTTGTACTTAATATGATGTTTTGCAGTGGATTTCTAGTAAGATGCAGGGAAATGAAATAGCACACTGGACTCCTAACTTGTGAGAAATTATGTCACTTGGCGATTTTTTCACCCTGACTGAGATGAATGATGGGCTTACAGCCCCTTCTCGAGTCAGGGAACTTGTGGCTGTCCTGCAGAAAGATAGAGATTGTATTTTGAATGTTGGTGATGCAACAAGGCAGCAGTCTGTGGTTGCAAGAACAATAGCTGCCACCGAGAACAAGGACTGTCTTGATCTTTTTGTTCAGTTAGATGGGCTCCAGTTTATTGATAAATGGTTGAAGGATGCCCAGAAGTTCAGCAATGAAACAGGTGAGAGCTTTGTGGAAGAGTCAATTTCTCATTTACTGCAAGCACTAGAAAAGCTGCACGTAGACGATGAGAAATTGGTTTCTTCAAACATATGTACTACTGTAAGGGATCTTCTTGGTCATAATAATTCCAAAGTCCTGGATAGAGCTCGAGCGTTGTTGGATAGCTGGGAAAATGATAGAAGCTTCAATGCATCTTCCATGAATATCGATAGAGTTGAGCCTTTGACAAATAATGACATGCAAATAACTGCCAATAGTGAGAGAGATAGTAAACACTCGGAATTTTCTGTAGGGGGTGCTCTAATTTCAGATGTTCATTTAAATGCAGAAGCCCAAGTGCACAGAGAACTGAAGAAAATGATGAACTTGTCACTATGTTACAAAACTCCTCCACCAGTGAGCAAAGCTGGGAAAATCCCAAAAATTCAAGTACATTCTTGTTGAAGATTGAAGATGAGGGAGGGATTGACAAGCTTGACCAACATTATAGTGATGGAAATAATGATGCTCTGGCGATTAATTATGATTTTAGGAAAAAAAGAACTGACAGGGAACCTGGTTTAACCAGCAAGAAATCTGGTGTTGAATTAGACTATGGGATTCTAGATCCATTAGAAGTTGCTCGGCAAGTTGCTATAGAAGTGGAGAGAGAACATAAAGATTTTAGAGAACAAAGTTGCAGTTCTTCTGAGAAAGCACCAGAAGGTAAACTACAGGAGCCAGGTAGCCCAGACGTTTTAAGTGGAAAAAGATCCCATGCCACTGAAGGCTCACCTGAGCATGTGTCCCAGGACCCAGATCTGTCTGCTGAAGCTTCGCCAATGCAGGAAAACTCTGCAACTGGTAGTGAAAACCTTGATGCTGATCCAATAAATGACACACAAGATGTGGAAACCTCTCAGGTCACTGAGGTGGCTCAAGAAGAAGCAAACACGGTGAGAGGCCTGTGCAATTTTGATCTGAATCAAGAAGTTTATTCAGAAGATATGGATCCCCCTGGGAATCAAATTTCTACCACTGTCTCTATAGTTTCTGCTTCAAGGGCAACTGCAGCTCCTGGATTACCTGTTGCTCCATTGCAATTTGAGGGGAAGTTTGGATGGAAAGGTTCAGCTGCAACCAGTGCTTTCCGTCCAGCATCACCTCGCCGGATTCCTGAAGGTGATAAGGATCTTTCCACAGGGGAAAGCAGCAGTTCAAAACAGCGACAGGGATGTCTTGACATTGATCTGAATATAGCTGAGAGTGAAGATGGCAGAACAGGAGACCTACCAAATAAACATGTTCCAGTACATTCCACCCTTCTTTCTGGGGAATCTTCAGTGGAAGCAAACTCAAGATTAGAACGTCTTGAGTTGGATCTTAATAGAGCAAGTGAAGATGGTGATGTCCCGTCAGATAGGCAGATCAACGAACAGCTTTTTCCCAAGAGAAATGGCCATCAGAGTCGAACTCTTTTTTCTACATCATCACTAAAGCAACCTTCTTTGAGGAATATTGATCTTAATGACCAGCCTTCTCTTCTCAATGATTATTCAGATCATTCATATTTAACTAAGTTACCTCAAAATTTAAATGCTTCTGGAGATTTAAAGTCAGTTGACTCTGTAATATCTATCATGGGCACAAGAGTGGAGGTCAAGCGTGGTGATTCCGTTCCTCATGCTGTGCACTTGCCAAATGGCAGAACTCCAGAGCTTGCATTTGATGTTAACTTGGCCAGAACTGGTAGTTTTCTTGGGATGGGATCTGCACCTCCATATACCCATTCTACGTTATACAACTACAATGGCATTTCACCAGGTCATGCTATGCCTTTCTCTACAATGTATGGGGTTGCTGCCCCCATTCCTTACATGGTGGATTCTAGAGGAGCACCTGTTGTTCCTCAAATTGTGGGCTCTGCATCAGCCCGACCACCTGCATTTTCTCAGCCACCATTCCTCGTAAGTATGACTTCCTCAACTCCTTCAAATGGGGGCGTGCCATCGCAGGGTAGTTTTGATCTTGACTCCAGGCTAATGTTGGAAGGTGGAAGTAGGGGCCCTGCAGGCTTGGGACTCTTGTCGAATTCAGGTACATTTATATCAACTGACGAGCAGTTGAGGTACTATTCCCAACCTTCCATCAGTTCAGTTGGCGAGAAACGAAAAGAACCAGATGGTGGATGGGAATATTACCCTTTGAAACAATGCACACCACCATGGAAACAAAGTTAATTTACACGGGCCTCCTTTCTTGGGATGGTATTAGGAACAATCTGATCGGGCTATTGGTTTTATAGCAATATTTAACCAAGAAGAGTCAAATTGACTGAAGTTGGAGAGAGGTTTGTAGAAAGCTAAAAAGTGATAGGAATTGTGGTTGCGATTATATTCTTTAGGTAAATTATGCAGAGAAGAACAGGATACTAGGTTTTACTGTTTTCAAATGTTTCTAATTTCTTGATCCTCCTTGTATTGTAGAAGGCACTTCACCATCACAGGAAACTGGTTACTTTTACCTGTAATTTCTCCTTATTTAGGGGACATGCTCTTGTATATACTTATATATGTGACCCATGTTCTGTGTTTATACAAATGTAGAAAATTGTGGAACTGCATCCAGTGCTAGCTTTTTGATCTATTTATCTAATGTTTTGTATTATCTAATCTTCTCTACCAAATGTGTCAGATTTCTTGGCGTCTCTGCAGTTAGAATAGATATTTAACTGCATGAAAGTTGAAATTCTTCTTGCAATATTTCCATTCTTCTTGTCTCGTTTCACTTGCTTTTCCTCCTTTGAATAACAATGCTATATGAGTGGCTCCTCGCGGCTTGAATTTAGAGAAATGTGTACAAGGATGGCTGGCTCTTCGTAATAAATTCTTTGATATTCATCGACTTGCTTGATTGCATCCAATCCTTACGTTCAATTAATTGTATCCAGTCAATAGGATGGTTGGAATGCAATGTGATGCTACAAAAAATCATGCATGTTAATTTTTGAGCTTGATGAGTGAACATGAGTACAAGCGAGATCTTTTAGTACTTGAAATAAAGGCAACAAGCCTCTCCGATACTTAACTTAAAGAGAAAATTTGTACATGAGGCTATGAACTGAAAATTATGTAAAAACATATCCGAATAATGAATCAATGCTTTGTATTTGTAGGGGTAGGTACTACTCATAGTAGGATTAATCAATTGGATATCCTTATCTTTGGTCCTACTTGAGTGGGGTGTTGAACTTGTACTATGATTGCAAGATCAATCATGCTTTTGTTAATATAGTGGAAATAGAGTCCTCCTAGGTTTAGAAATCTTGGGTTGAGATGTCTAGGTCAAATTAGAATCGTTAGAGTGTATGAATCTTTTTAAGCTTAAACAAAAGGGGCATTGAAATTAAGTGCTCGAGGACCAACGTCCCTTGGGAGGCAAAAGGTAACCCAAGGACTTACACCCTCAGGACCATGCCCCCAAATCTCGTAGAAGTGTGGTACTAATCCTCGGGACAACCACGAGGATACCATTATGCTTGAGGACTCCACGACGTATGTGGTGAGCCAGCACATATGAGTCCTCGGGGCTATGCCAACTATGACCACGTCACAATGTAAACACCATGTGCATTGTGTTGTTATTACGCGAGCCTATCTTATTGTAATGTTATCGAAGATAAAAAAAAACTCATGAAATTTTTACAAACCTAAAAGTTTTTCCGACTGTTCAGATCCATCTTCCTCATCTACACACATCAAATATATACACACAACATCAGTTTATATACACATATACTCTTTAATTCAATCCTGAATAGTATAATTACAGCATAGTAAAAAGCAAAAAATTGAACCCTGTTTTGATTATTCAGTGTTATTTTTATCTGTAGCATAATATAGTGACTAGTATTGGACTGGTTGATCTCAAACACATTGGAACGGCTTCTGGGGTTTATTGAATATGCTGCTGAGGGAGCCGGAACCGGACCTGAGACTCCGGCGATTTAACGGCGACGCCGTGCCAACAGATGCCGCCGCGGCACATTTCTTGGCTATGGTCGCGTGTCAATGCAAACCTGGCCTTCCGGGACACGTCCCAAGTCAGACTCGCAATCAAGATTAAGCCAACTACAGCTGTTGACAGAATCAGCACATATCCACTGCTGAAGCTCCGCCCCACAGCCAGTCCATATGCCTTAATCGCCGCTATAACCACCAGGTACAGCGTCGTCAGGTTCCCCACCACCGCATCGGAAATCGCCATAATTTTTTCTTGTAAAATTCTCAGTTTATGATCATGAAAGTAGTACTGTCGGGGTGTGAAAATTCCTGATTGTGTGAGGATGCACTAAATATCTAGAAACATTGGAGGTGGGAATAGAAAAGTGGGGTGTTGGGCTTATTATATAGATTGACAGATACGTAACGGGTGGCATTTCATTTCCAAGAGATGCGTATGGTATCGAGTCCCCTCACAAATATTTTATTCATGATGGCCACTCATATGAGGAGGTTGTACACCACGCTACACAAACTGTCTAATTATTCATTTTTTCTGGTCTTGAGCTCATCTAGAGTTACATTACATGTACCAGCATGGTGTCAGCCCATCTCATAATAGGAATTAGGAGGTCCGTGAATTTTTTATTTATGATGTCTTCGTGTAAGAGAGTTAGCATGGTGCACAAATGGCCTTATTCATCTATCTTTTATTTCTTTTTTCGGTGTTATTGAGGAACTAAAAGGTCAGCATCATCACTATTGTTCAGTAATATGATGCCACGTGGCAAGCTTGGATCATGACATTTGCATAAGCCTGAAATTTCTTCTAATTGTGGGATTATGAGTCAGCCCGACAAGGACTTCATGCCTAACAATGATGATAATCAATCGGATCTATGGTTGGTTTCGTTTTTTTTTTTTTTTTTGCATTATTATACGTATTTATGATATGAATAATGTTATTTATCATTGTTAGCATTTAATATCAATTTAGATAACAACACTAATGACATTAAATTATTAAATTATATATTCAAAAATAAGACTTATGATATGTTAACACTTAGATTTATGTTTAACTCTATTGATACAATATATCATTATTCTTATTATATACTTGTTGTAAAATTGCACGTCTTTATGGTTATGTCTAGAGTTGCGTTTAATTATATCTTTATGTCATCAAAGAGGCATCACAATGAGTATATAAGTGTGGAGCGGAAGCTTGGGGCCCACAGTTAGGATCTAGCTCCTATTTGAGCTCCATTTTAAGGGGAACAAAATGCATTTTTGAATAGTGTATTGAAAGGAAACGCGTAGTTAAAAAATAAGAAAAAATTTTAAATTTACGTATAATATTATTCTATTGAAGTGTAATTGAAATAATGTGAAAATACTGTTTAAGAATGAATTTTTCCAAAGAATGGAACCAAACAAGGGCCTAATAAATTCAGTTGAGTGAGTTCAAATTTCTAATTCCTTGCGGTTGCTTGAAGTTTCTTTCTTTGCTCATTTCTCTGACTTTGATGTGTTTCACCTCTTTACAAACTTCCTTGAATAAACATGTGGGGACCATGAAATACCTTTTTGGGCAAAGCAGTTGGCAATTGATTTTTTATGAAAAAATGATTGTTGTACTTACCATTTATATAATTTTTTTACGGATAATGTTATTAATAGAGAAAAAAATTACGGATAATGTTATTAATAGAGAAAATTTTCGATAGTCATTCTAAATAGTATATATGTGATAGTTTGCAATTTGAAGCATTAACGTAATAGTTTTTTATTACCTAATGTATCAAATAACAAACTATCACCGTATGCTACGTTGGTCGATTACCAATAGTCTCACCATGAATAGCATTATTCAGTTTTTACATATTAGTGAAGTGTCAAAAGAAGGTGTGCAATATATATACATACATATATATATATATATATTTGGTTGATAAGATGTTGACTTAATGAAACTCGCTATGTCATTTATTGATAAATAAATCTATAATTTATGATGATGTAGTACAACAGTTTTTCAAGAAGCTATATAAAAGGAGTGAAAAAGAGCAGAATTAATGATGATTCTGAGTTAACATGGTGATATAGATGACGATAAAATATAATTGGTTGGCATACATGACGTAGGAAACAAAATTGAATGAAGTGAATCATTAGTCGTAACTACTAAGAATCGATGATGTATGAGCGAAATATGAAATACAATACATAACTTCAATTATGATTATATTTTCTTTAATCAATTACTTAAGTTAAATCATGGAAATGTAGTTAGTGTGTAACTTTTTATTTTTTATGTCTTCAAATAGTGTAATTTTTCCTTTTATATGAGAAAAATAAAACAAAATCTTTCAATCTATTATTTTATATTTGTCTCAAATTACCTTTAGGTCCTATTTGATAGCATGGAAAATCAATGGAAAATGGAAATAGAATTCCACTTTCTAACTTTAACAATGTTTGATGATAAAGTTTTTCCTTGGAAATGATTTTCCCACCCCTCCCCTCACGCGCTTGATTTCTAGCTTTTTAAGGAATTCTAATTCCTATAGGTTAGGTGAGAATTTGTTTTCTAGGTTACTTTTTAAAAAAAAAAAAATTAAATTTTTTTCGCCAATGAAAATAAATTATATTGTTAATTGTTAAAAAAAATTCCTTTAAATGACAATTTTCATATAAAACAAAGCTAAATGAACACCAAAAGATTTATATATATATATTTTTTTTTTGAATTTTTTGCTTTTTTTTATTTTGGCAATAGAAACAAATTTCATCCCCCAATACTAGTAAATTTTATCCTTATAATTGATAATTTTTATGTAAAACAAGGCTAAACGAATAACAAAAAATACTTTTATTTCAACATTTTTCACGTGAAAAACTATACCAATCAAACACAATAATTTACAATTTCAAGGAAAACAATTTCTAAACAATTCAATTCCCTAAAATTCGTTTTTAATTCAATTCAATTCAATCTTTGCAATCAAACAGATCCTTAATTTTTGGGCGCTGCCTGTTGAAAAACCCCCTGGACGTGCATGGGATTGTTCAAGGGGCTTTCCCTTAGTTTTTTCAATCTAATAGATTGAGCTTGACGACAATAGGCAAAGTCTCTTTACAAGCACAGGGAAACTTGCTGGCAACATGGGTAGTCCAAATAAAGATCAGCACTCAAAAATTTGAAGTGTAGCGAATAATTATGAAAAACTATTATAAAGAAAAAATTTGAATACACATAAAGATTTGAGAACCTAAATTTTAAAGTTCAACTTGGGCTGAGTTAGTCTTCTATAAATACTTACCATTCCTTCCAATAACAGTTCTGGCCCATGGACTTGGGATGGGAAGAGTAAGCCCAGTATCACGACTAACAGGCCCAAACATGTTTGGGCTTGGTTGATTTGGTCCATAACATGCTCCATATTGTGTTGATTTAACATATAAACCTGACCCGTATGCACTTCAAAACGGACCTAGACATATATATGAGGTGACAAAAATAATTGACATGGCATTTTTAGTTTTTACTATTTTTACAGGGGGAAGGAATGATAAAATATTGTCGTTTTTATCACATTTTATTAACAAAATCCGAGAATCGAAACATCTCTTCGTTGTCGTTAATAATTTTTTCGATAGTTTTCTAATCATAAAATTTCTTGACAAAATTGTATGCATGCAGTTTTTTTTTTTAGGATAAGATTTCACGAAAAGCATACAGAGTAGATATCTAAACGAAAAGGTAAAGCATCTCTTTAGAGCTAAATGCAGCCAAGCAGATATACTGTACAGAGAAAAAAATGGATGATAAAAAAATACATAACAGTCAAACATTGATCTGTGGATGTTGAGCTGAAAAGTAGGGCTGCTTACACAGCACAAAATGTGGGGGAAATGTTGATATATTTATTTATTTATTTATTTATTTATTTTGAAATCTTAATCAGCCTTCGAAGCACTTTTGTCAAGGTGTTAGACAGTATTAAAGTTGAAAAAGAAGTTAAAATTTTGTTCAGTATCCAATTGTATCTTTTTCATTACAGCAAACTAAAAATACTTGCGACAAGAATGAAATTCTAACTCGAAAATAAGTAGTGGGTTTGAGAGGATGATATGTCGTATTGGGATAATTCTACATTACTTGCTTTTCTTGCTTGCAAGTGTTTAAGATTCAAGAATGCCTTCATTTAATATTTATAACTATGTATTAGGAGTTTAGAATGATCAAATTGCAATAAATTCCTTGATTTGTACAAAGATAATATTTATTTATGGGCAACCTTATCCAAAACAAAATCAGCATTAATTTTTGCTCTTTCTATGAATGTCCTTCCAGCAATCAGGAACGTGAATGGTATGTGGATTCCTTTCTTTTTTTTCTTTCTTTTTTTTCCTTTTTTTATCTTTTTTTTTTTTATCTTGTACTTTTCTATTCCTTTATAAAAAGAAAAGTAAAAAAATATTGAGTCATACTTTTGGATTCAATACCTTTTTATCAAGAAAAATAAAATAAAATATATGATCAAGAGAGTACTCTCTAATTTTCCTTCGTGTCATCATCCTATCCTTATTTGTCACTTAGGTCTCTATTCAATGGCTACAATAGTGTTGTTTATGTTTACTTGCAATTTGGTAATGTCTTTTGGTTTTTAACCTATGTTTGACATGTTTGCATATGAAATTGAACACGATTGAATAAGATATTAATAAATATTATGTATTGAAAGATATGAATCAACTTGTCAAGTTTACGAGCTTGCTACAAATTCGATATGTAAAGAAAGATAGCATGTGGTTGATGTGGAGAAGGAGAACGGTTGGACGATAAATATTGTAGTGATATGAATTTTTTATTTTTTTTAAGCGATGAAAAGTTTTTGTTTAGTATAAATTGTAAATAAAATTAGTCACTAAATTTGGTAATCTCAATCATGTCTGATTCAGATTGCATTACTACTAATGTACTTTTCAAGATGACACAGGCAATAAAGAATTTTTTACAAAAGCTTTTTCTGTCTTTCGAAAATTCTGAATTTTGTACCTAGTTGAAATGTTTGATCAAATCATATTCATACTTAAAATCTAGCTAGGATTGCAATCGTGTTTTTGGTCGATCGGGTTCTTAACGTCTTTTCTTGTCATTTGAGATGAAACAATGTATTCAATTTGCAAATTTTGTTGAGTAGTCAATGTATTTATAGACTGATCGTTGTCTTTACATTTAAATGAAGTTAAATTTTATTCTGAACGTGTGCTCCACAAGACGATAACTCATTTAGGAACACAAATTTTAATAATTTTCTAGTTTGAGCTTTTCTTGAACTTTCAAGTTTTAATTAATAGTCATTGCTGACAAAGTATTATCGATTTGAGTAATGCTAATTAATCCTATTGAGGTTACAACTCAATATAGGTGGCGCTAATGTGGTATTAATTGATAGATAGAATTAATAACTCATTTAATTTCACATTTCATTTAACTTATCACTTAATGTCACCTAAATTGGGATTGCAACTCCAATGATGCTACATAGTATTACTATATCGATTTTGGTCAATTGTCTGCTGAGTGTATATTTTCAAAAATTCAACAATCTTGAGAATGTGGAAAGCTCAAAAAACGTGCCAAGTTTCAAGAATCACGCCGGTGCAATGGACCATTCAATATTTCAATTTAAGGTTGATTTTCCTGGTACAAGTCGGCAGTTTTGACGACAATTTATTTCCTTTCAGTCCACACTAATTGCTTTGTTTACATTATCTAATCATTTGAAACTTGCATTATTTTATTGCTTAATCAACTCTTTTTATTTTCTATTCAATTAATAATATATAATAAGGATATAATTAATTATTATTGTAAATTAAATATTGTCTGTGAATGACAATGCTAATCCCAACGAGACCAGCCATCATTCATGAGTTCATAATGCAGTTTCTAATTGTATGAGTCAGACAAGTCCTGAAAAGGGTTTTAATAGGACTCTTTACAAACGATTCTTTTATCTATTATTATTTAAAAATAGAAAAATGCTATTTGTACATCGGGGTCGATACTCCAATGTACACTCCTTTCACATGAGGGGGGACAATGACAATAAAAAAAAATCATGGAATCCCCTCATGTGAAGGGAGTGTACCCCAATGTATGTATAGCAAAACTCTTTAAAATAATCAAGTTATTAATGATGGATGAAACCAATAAGGGTACTATCGAGTTGGATAGATTTAGATAATAGACGTCATCTACTAGCTTTTTAGCATTCTTTCTTGCTTCTCCTTTCAGGGTCTATTAGGAATAGAGTAAATATTTCTTGATTGTGAATATTAGGACGGGTTGTTTACCGTTAAAAAATTCATATTTGGACAATTCAAACCATCTATGCACATTATTTTCATCCAAGATTTCAATTTTTTCGTGTTTTATCAGTGACATATTGTTTAATGACAATTGTAACCCTTTATAAACATGGATTTTGGTTCTCATCATTTTGCCATCGGATCCAACAATTTGGTTGGTAAAATATATTGTGCAGTACATACAAAAGAAGCTGGAGTCGTCTCATTTTACTATCAAGAAGCTGTAAGTAACTGCATAACAAATATATCGCCAGTGAATTCATACTGATTTTGCCAACCTAATAAACGAATCTCCCCCGCCAATCTTAATTTAAAAATAAAATGAAACTAAAAATATTACTAGGAAAAAAATAAATCTCACCACTACCTATAACTCTCTCAACTTCAATCCTAACTCGTGTCTAATTGTTTCCTTAATGACTCAATTCCTCGTCACATGGGCCCTAAAATTTTCTTCATGGCCCAAATTCCGACAAGCTTGATGGGTCCATCTTGAAAAAAGAATTGAAACGATGTCAACAGAAAGAAATTATAAGAGCCGACGCAACTGCCACATTGCCGCCAGGATAGCGATGGCTCCAGCCAAGGCCGGTGGCTGAGTGTGTGTCGATCGGGCACCGCTTGCATCGAATGCTCCCTCGTATACCATCGTGCCGTTGCCTGGGGCTTGCCCGTCCGATTTCTTTTGACTGCACGCAGATAAATGTAGTTGGTAAAAAATTTAAGTAGAGAAAATGATCATGTACAATGTGCATGGTCCAAGACAATAAGTTATCAACTTTGGATAATAACACACAATAATTGATCCCAAACATAATAATTTTGGTTGACAATCCAGTTATACTCAAGACGGTATACTATTGCTTTCTTAAATTAAATATGAAATAGTAACTTATCAAAACAATCATGCTATACTACCACAATGATTGACACAATACACTCACACGAGAGGTCGACAATATTTTATTTGCATGAAACCCACACCTCGATTGTGAGTGTGGTGTCATCCTTTGTGTCAACCATTGTGTTCATTTAACATTTTCCTTAACAAAATGGCCTCATGAATTAATAGAGATTTTTATTTTTTCCTCCCGTTGCTTACATCGGAATTGCCAGCCTAACGTTCAAATTTACAGGCTTTTATGAATGGTAACTAATGGACAAAAGCGCCCTTGATAAAATCTGCCTAAAAGTGAGCAATTATGGGGATTTTCGTAAATTTACCTCGTGTTTGGTGCCGGACAGAACGTTACGATATAATCGGCCCCGGCACATGTGAACGTACTTGTCTTATCATCATACGCATAACTGTATGCGCGTGGACACGCGCTTTTGAAAACTTGCGAGTATGACGAGGGTTTACAGGTGTCGGGTGTGCCGTAGGCGCCGCTGCAACAGTATTGCTCTTGTCCGAATGCCTCACAAGCGCTTTTGCAAGCGACGTGGTCGCCGTCGCTGCTTGTAACTCTGAGCTCTGACGGACATGCGCCGTTCAAATCCACCACGCATCCAGTAGTAGTACAATTAGCTCCGGAGCCACCCTGTGGTACCACCAGCATCGGAACGTTGTACCCGTCGACCAGGCTGACGTCGTAGAAGTCCATTCCGCCTGAACCGTCGAGCGTGAACTCCGCAAGAGTTGCAGGTGGAGCGGCACCACCACCGGCGCATTCCATTTTTCCTGAGCCACAATCACCTGTGACGCAGGAGAATTTTCCGGTGGAGTCCTCTCTGCATAGAGTCCTACCCCATAATCGGCCGCCCCATGAAGAAGGCGCGTCAATTGTCCTCGTCTCACCCTTTTGCAGAGCAAAACCTGTGGTGGGAAGTGGCGCAATTCCGGCGTTTGATAAAATGCCTGGCCAAACTGTGAACTCACACTTGTTTACAATTGTAAATGTTGACGCTGAATAAATTTTACTTGATAGAAGGAAACTTGAGAGCGTCAGAAGGAGAACGTGCAAGTAGAATTGCGCCATTGAAGGTGTAATACAGTATACGTACGTATGTGACTGTATGTATATGTAGAGAGCTGGGGTAAACAAAAGGAGGAGGTGGTGAGAGGCGGTGGAGGGAGGTGCCCAAGCCGCCGCCTTATTGTAAATTAGGAGAGAGAGAGAGAGAGAGAGAGAGGTTTCTGGTTAGCGGGGGTGGCGGAGTTATTTATAGAGGTTATGGGGCCTCCGGGCATGGGTTCGTCAAAATGCCGGCTTTTTTTGCAGCTCGATTAGTCTTAGAGCTTATTTGGTACAGCTATTAATTCAATTAAAATTAATTTTTTTACCATTATTTTACTATTTCAATCGTCATTTTTTAATTCTTCTCTCCACTTTATCTCTAACAGTCAAAAAATCAATTATCAAAATCCATACCAAACAATCACTTAATTTTATTTCAATAAATTTGTAAGAATCTAAATCAATAATTAATTATAATCGTTTTTCATTTTAAACTGAAAAATAAAGATAAAATGTAATGCAACCCTCTATATTAAAAACAGCTACGCTGCTACACTTGGTCTCCTCGTCTCAAAGCATATGGATCCATCGGTTCGATGAAGACTCAAAATCGAACTTTACTCGCTCACGTTCAATAGCGATTTCTTCATTTTTTAGATAAAAACATGAATTCCATTCAAGTCCTTCGGCCAAGTCCCTCAAACGCGATTCATCTTAGTGAATAGGAGAGCTTACTTCTCCTTATTATATTTGATTATTAATGGTTTAGTAAATTAATGGGATGATTAGGCCAATGAGATTCTTTCAGTGAAAGGCAAGGTTGTCATGATAAGATATTCAATTGTATTGATGGTTACATCAACGATGTCCCTTACTCTTACATGGAATTTCATTCATGCAAATTGGCTTTTACAGCCCAGTGTAAACTCATAAAGATAGCAACTGTTGCAAGCTGCCACTCATATTCAATTAATGCTAAATTGAGCTTAAAATAACAGTCGTCCTACGTATACATAACAATTTACATAATGAGTCATCAACAGATAATGTGACGAGATTTAATTAGATCAAAATCTCATCAAAAGAATATAAAAATTCACCACTTACATTTTGACACCTTATTATTTTGTAATAGATATGAACAAGAAGCATTTTCGGTAAAATATTTAAGTCCCTCTTTTGGTCAACTAAAAAATTGATTAAAATTTAAGCAAAGTTAACAATTAATTTCAATTAAACGTTTTATGAGCTCTACAAATTTTCAACAGCACATTCTATTTTTTATTGAAGTCTACTAAAAGTCTGATTTTTATCTTACATAAATAGAGGTTAAATGAGTATAAATATTTTTTTTGCTTTTTTTACAAAGAGGTCTCGAATGACTTTCATAATTGTCATTCTGTGAACTAAGAATAATATCAATGACTACAAACTAAGACATTAATCGACCAACCTCGCTATGCTGCTAGGGAGGGGGCCGAGTAAAAATTCTTTGGGCTTTTTTATTCACATGGGTCCCACTTCATGTAATCCATGCAAGTATCTGTCAACAAGAATGTCAAATTCTTTCTGACAAAGGAGCTTAATTCTTGATATACATAGAGAGTGTTTGGGAGTCATTTTTATGTAAAAATACATTTTGAAATAGTAAATTAATGAGAAATATGTGGTTGAAAAATAAAAATAAAAATTTTATTTACGTATAATATTATTTTAATGAAGGATATATGATTAAAAAGAAGAGAGAGAAAAATATATTTTGAAAAAAATGAGTACTAAACGGGGCCATAATCGTTTTAAAGGAAATGAAATTCTTAAGATTGCTTGACTTTGACATCATGTTTTACTGTGCCACCTCCTCAGTATGATGGCTAAGCAGGCCGAAGAAACTTCTTGAGAATCTTATTCTCCATATTCCTTTTTTATTGACATCTACGTGAAATGAAATTTACTATGATTGCCCGCATCATTTCCTGAATCCACGATTTTGATTGTTTGCTTGCATATCAATCTTGCTTTTTCTCTTTTGGCTTTTACTTTCGTAAATCACAGCTAAGGGATAATTACGCTCCGAACACGACTATGCAGGAAAAAATCTCTCTGGTCCCAACTTGGAATCTTTTCGAATAAATCTTCGCGTGGAAAGAAAAACAAGTATTCTGATAATACTTTACGAGAAGAATAAAAGTTCAATCTTTCATTTTTATTTCCCCTTTCTGAAATTGTTGATAAATTTGAATTATCGATTTCTGTATTCTTGTTCCAAGATAGCTGAATCGAACAATAAACCAAAGATTTTTTTTTCATAATGAAATCAAATGATTTTATTATTATTTTTAAAAAGATATGAAACTAAAACGGAATCGAACCATTCGATTTTGGTTTGGTTTGGTTCGGTCCTAATTTCATCACTGAATAAGAAAAAAAAAAGAGAGAATATTGAGAAAGAAGAATTGAATGTTGAGACTTCAATTTAAAAAATCCATGTGACGATGATGGTTGAGCATAGGACTGGGTATGGTTTGGTTTGAATTGATTTTGAGTCCAACTGGAAATGGAAACCAAAATCGACTTGATCGGTTTGGATAAATTCCAACCCAAATAGACTCAATCCAGTCGTTGAAATCGAACCAAACCAAATCAAATTAGCTTGGGTCAGTTTGGTTTTGTTAATCGATTTGGAATTTGTGCAAGTAAAAAATATTGTCTACCTATATTGAGTTAAAAAAATTTATATTCATATACATTTTTTGTAACGTAATGCATATCAATAATATATATAATGCAAATGGTAAAGAATTACTTTTTCCAAAATCATCATATATATAGATCCGATATTTATCAACAACCAATTATACTAAAATGAAAGCAATGGTGGTACAATCTAAAATCGAAATTTATATCAAACACTTCTTCTTCTTACTTTCTTTTCTTTTTATATTTAGAGTTTTTGTAAAAAAAATATAAACGGTAAACAAATTATTTGAGACAAAATTATATTTGTGTTTTTATTATTTCATTTTTCACATTTAAAAAGATAAATTTTAAAATATGAAAATAAAAAAATAAAAAAATTGTATTTGCGGGTTGGGTCGCTTAATTAAAGGGTTGGTTGCTTAAACCAAAATCAACACAACCCGACTTTTTAATGGTTAAAATTAGCCTAACCAAACCAATTTTTTGGTTCCAACCAACCCAAACTAATCCAACTCGATTTGATTTGACCGATTTGACCGACTTTTTGATTTTTTTTTGCAGGGCGAGGAATGTATAAATTAAAAAAAGAGACGAAATGAGAAATGAATTAGGGGTTGAGTCTTTAGTTTCCATATTGAGAAATGAGAAACTGAAAGTACATGACATTTTTGTTCTAATTTTCAATTGAGTTTTGAAATTTTTGGCTCGAACTGTGATTTACTAACCTGTAAAAACTAAATATAAATAAAAATAATAAAATTTAATTATTGAGTTTGATTCTTGATTCTAGAACTATTAATTTTTTATTTATTTTGTAGAACCAAATCGAACAGCTTGATTTGATTTGATCTGATTTGGTCTAGTTTTATTTGGTCGTTTTGTCCATTCTTATTTTTAAAAAAAAAAAATTAATTTTCACTGTATAATTACAAAATCTTTTTTAAATATAATAACTAGCCATTGGCAACAATTAAAATGAGAATGAAAAATATAGCTGTCATGAACTCCACACAAGAGATAGAAATTCAAATTTGATGATTTGATATGATGGATAACGGTTATATTTTTCATTTTAATTAAAAAAAATGAAAAACAAACAGGACTTAGCTTATAATATTTTAAAATGTAAAACGCCAATAACATAAAGTTTGTGTACAAATCTATCACACGGGTAATAAAATAATAATATTTTCACCCAACGCTATAGTACGAACGTCCCACTTGACCTATAGGCCGTGATAGAAGCCGCTGGCGGCTTTAGCTGCGCATAAAGAGTCGTACGTGGGCCAAATTCTCTGATGACAGGTTGAGAATTTCAAAAGGCAACTCTTATGAGACAATGTTTTGTCCAGTTGAATGTTATGCCTATGACTCGACTCGTTATAGAAAATTAGCGTTAATGGGATGAGCGGCGGATTTTTCGTAGAATGAGGATAAAAATAGATATATAGCCTCCGTTTGGTCCGGATTAATTTCTATTCCACTACATTTCATTTTCAACTCTTTTATTTTTAATCATACAATATTTTATAAAATAATATTAAAATTAAATCAAAAACTTTTTTTTCTTTTTCAATCATTCATTTAAAAAAAAAAAAAACACTATTCTACCAATTTTCATTCCTACAAAATGGTGGCCAAATTGGGAGATATTATAGAGTCGATCGGGCCATCCCATCAAAGAGCGAGCTTGTACGGTGAATTGAATTAGTTCGATAGAGCGGTATGAGTCGAGCTCGACAGTAATTTTCTAACTTTATGAAGACAAATTATTGGAAGTTTTTCTACAAAATATCCTCAAACAACTTAATTTCTATTTCATAACTATTATTCCAAAACTCTTTAATTTCATATACTCATTTTCAACCATACATTTACACAATAAAATATTTTGCAAGTAAAATCAAAACATTTCCCCACTTCTTAACCATATATTCTCTAAAAAATCACTATTCAAAACCTTGTTTTCACAAATAAATGGCTAATCATTTTATCTTTGAAAAACTTCCTATAAATATGGCAATTGTATTTTGGTGGGTTATTCAAAGTTCACAAACTTCGACTAGGGCTCAAATTTTATTTGAATATACTTTTCAATTCACTCAAGAGATGTGAGATATAATCCCTCATGTTTTGCACAATAAATGAAGACAAGTGGGAAGTGATATTTTCCAGATTCAATGTCCTTTGCCCTAAATATGAAACTTGAAAGCACCAAACGAAAATTCATAATTGCGTTCTAATGTGGGTGAAAATGAAATATTCGACATTAATAAAACGGAAGTATATTCATCTGTTCCATCGTAATGCAGTTTTGCAACCTGGTTCAATAATTCACGAGGAGATGTCAGCTTCTTTGACTTTCTCAACAGAAGACATCTGCCCAAATAAAATGCGAAAAACAAATGCAATAAGCCATTTTTCTATCAAAATCAGAAGTGGCATTATTCTTGCTTCAACATTTGCGTGCTCCATGAAGC